TTTTGCTTTTTCCTTCATTTCTCTATTCCTCTATCTCAGTTTCTCTTTCCTTTTGAACAGAAAGAACTAAAACTTTACCAGCATAACTTCACAGCAGGTTAAATACACCAACCTAGGGCCAGCCAAATAGCTCAGCGGATTAAAGCACCTGCAAGCAGGCACAAGGGCCAGGGTTTGAGCCTGCCTTGCTGCCCCCCACCCCAGGGCATTTTCAGATGATGAGACTGGGCATGGTGGCACTCACCTGTAATCCCAGCTCTTGGGAGGCTGTAAACAGTGGATCACTACAAGTCTGATCTAGTAGTGAGACCCTGAGACCTGGAACACCCTGTAGGCCCTTCCCTAAATACACCAACTGAGCTGAGTGTGGTAGTGTGTGCCTATAATCTCAGCTGAGAGGCAGAGGCAAGAAGACCACAAATTTGAGCCCAGCCTGGGCAACTTAATGAGACTCTGCTAAAAAAAAAAAAAAAAAAAAAAAAAAAGGGCTGCAGGTATAGCTCAGTACAAAGGTCCTGTGTTCAATCCCCAGAGGCACAAAAACTAAACAAACAACCCCCACCAAACTGGACTAGGGTTGTAACTATGGTAGAGTTCTTGTAGTGGGGTTCTTTTTTTTTTTTTTTTTGTAGTGGGGTTCTTGCCTGGCATGTGTGAGAACCTGGGCTTGGTTCCCACCACAAACATAATAAACACAACTACACCTCCCTTCAAATTTGTCCCAACTTGTTTATGTTTTTAAATGTGACAGGGCTGAACCATGTACTCTAGGGTGAGGGCTTTACCACTCACATGCAATTTTCTTTTTTGGACAGGGTCTCACTATGTAGTCCAGGCTTCCCTTATACTTACTATATGTAGGGAAGGCTAGTCTCAAACCTCAGTCTTCCTAGTGCTGGGGTTACAGGTATGCACCAACATGTTCAGCTAACACGTACAACTTTATTAACTGATTTTCATAGCTAGAGCCCAAACTCAAAGCTTCATGTATGGTAGGCAAGCACTTTATCACTGAGCTATACATTTACTAGGATAGTAGCATGCATGCCTATAATCCCAGCACTCAGAAGGCTGAGGCAGGAAGATTGCTGTGAGTTCAAGGCAGGCCTAGGCTAGTGAGACTTTGCCCTTAAAAAAAAAAAAAAAAAAAAAAAAAAAAAAGTAGCATACACTGGGAAGATAAATTAAGACATATATGGTCTTTCCCTTCAGTAGCTCAAATTCTTTTTTTTGAAACTGGGTCTTGCTAGGTGGCACAGGCTGACTTGAACTAACTATGTAGCACAGGCTGGCTTCAAACACATGGCAATACTCTTGTCTCAGCCTCCCAAGGCTGGGATTATAGGTGAGCATCACCAGAACCACCTCAAATTCCAATAGGGAAAATACTCACTGAGAGGCAGAGAACAAAGCATGATGGAGTAATATGAGGAAGATACAATCATGGACTATAAAAGCTCACAAACACTTCCATAACAATTCTTTTGTCCACACCGGAGAGCTATAGACCCTTAGCACACAGTCTCCCCATTTCCAGTGCTCATACTACATACAAACAGTACAGTAATCCAGAGTGTTCTTTTGCAGTACTGGGGATGGAACTTGGCTCTTGCACATATATGCTAGGCAAGCTCTCTACCACTGAGCTATATGCCCTGCTCAGGAGACCAGAGTTCTAGCCCAGCACTAATTGTACCTGATTGTTACACTGAATGCTTTGAGAGGAAGGAACAGACTGGGAGTGTGAAGGTAGCAAGGAACAGTCAGAGTGCCAAGCTGTCAGTTTTCCAGGGCACAGTATACACTGGAGGCAGAATGTGCCATATAGAAAAGGCAGGCTGATTCGGGCCAGAACTTAAAGACTCTGGAGCCCAGCGTGGTGGTCGAAGTCTGAGTCTCAGCACTGCGCAGCCTAAGGCAGGAGGAGCACTGTGAGTTTGAGGTTAGCCTGAGCTATCTAGCAAGACTCCGTCTCAAAAAACAAGATAAAATAAGACTCTGGGGCTTGAGACACAGCCTAGTAGTAGAATGTGTGTGAGGTCACAGAAGTGATCTCAGTACTACAAAATCAAAAAAAAAAAAAAAAAAAAAAAAAAAAAAAAAATTATAGACCCTGCTCCAATGGCTATATTTTAGCTGGGGTGAGCTATAACAAGATATAAATACATATAAATAGATAGAAAAATAGCTTCTTTTTGAGACAGAGTCTTGCCAGGTAGTTCAAGCTGGCATTGAACTCATGGCACTCCTTCTGCTTCAGCCTCCTCAGTGCTGGGATTACAAGCATGCACCACCATGCCCAGCAAGAGATACACTTCTAAAAAAAAAAGAGATACACTTCTGAATGTACAAAACAAATCCTATATGAGAGTGCATAGCTATAATACCAGCACTGTGGGAGGCTGAGGCAGAAAGATCACACATTCAAGTCCAACCTGGGAAACTTAGTGAAGACCCTGTCTCAAATTGAAAAATAAAAAGGGCTGGGGATGTGTAGCTCAGTACAAGGCTCTGAATTCAGTATCTGCAAAACTGAACTGAACTGAACCGAACCGAACCGAACCGAACCGAACCAAACCCCAGATCACAAGGAACTATTAATTGCTAGTTAAAATTCAGGAACCTCTCCCTTCTCTAGGTGTAGACACTGGAAAGTATTTAATCCTTGTATCTCTCAAATATGTCACCTAAATATCCGCACAGCCAATAGTGGTGCTGTGCTGAATAGACCTTCCCATGAGCTATCTCACAAGAGTGCCCTAGTGCTGGGGTTACAGCTTTGTGTCTTATTCACCTCTGCATTCTTACACCCAACACACCATCTGGAGTTTGAGAGCCAGTCCAAAAGGATTCACTGAGTAAGTCCTCGCAACAACCTGTGAGGCAGATATTAGCATCATCTTTGCTTCATAGAAGTGGAAATTAAACTTCTAAGAAGGGCAGAAACATTCCCCAAAACAGAGCACAGGTAGAAACAGATTAAAATGCAGGTTTGCATGCACAGCCCAGCAACTTTTTCACATTATAATGCTTTCGTCTAGACCTTCACATTCCACCGAATGCTCACGGAGCAGCCACTGCTGAGCTGCTCCAGCTCCTCTGTGCAATGTATTCATCACAAGTTGCCTTATTATTTGGTGATTCAGAAACACTATTTTGTTTATTGCTGTTTTGCTATACTGTCCAGGTTGGCCTTTTGAGCTTGCTATCCTCCTACCTCAGCCTCCTAAGTGCTGGGATTATAGGTGTCTGCCACCAAATTCAGCTTTAGAAACATACTTTTGTCTCGTGGGTTACTAATCTTGCTATTCAGACTGATAGTACAGAGACTGGGGAGATTGTTCAGCAGTCTAAGAGCCTGCTTGGTAGGTACAAGGACCTGAGTTCGATCCCCAGTAGCAAGACCCTGTATCAAATAAATAAATGCTTTTAAAATGATACTACAGGCTTAGGTGAATGAGCAGTTT